ATAGTTTGTATTACTTAATATTTGAAAAAAATAACAAATCCCCACTGTAAAAATTTGTAGAAAACACATCTCTTCCCCCATTTATTGAAAATCCCTAAAAGTGAAAAAGAAAGAATCACCCAATCCACCACCACACTGTCGTTGTCGTCATGCTCGTGTTGCCCATTGTTCCTATCGTCGGCTGCCCTGTTGGAGGTGATTAAGAATTGGGTACTGACCATCCCTTGGAGGTGACTACCTCAACCTGGCTCTGTCTCTTCTTGGACATTCATATGACCACTGAGAGCTTGAGCAGATCTAAATTGCTTTTGCAGAAGCTACATGTTAAAACGAAATCAGAGAAATTGGGGAAGAAGTGTACTGTTTGTTATTGATTACTTAAGAACTTACAACACTTATATGGTATTGTTACTAACAACTAACTACAGTAAAATATTAACTAAACTCTAGTCAACTAGCTATAACACTTTACAACTCAACTTAACTAACTATTACAACACTGTAAAGTATATGGCATGTGTAAGATCTTGGTGGCCATGAAAACCCACTAAGATATTCTTCTCCATTGTTATGGCTATTGTTGTTCCACGAATCTTTAAGCTTGACGTTGTTGGAGTTTTGATAGTTGTTGTTGCAATCTCTAATGGCGCTACTGCCAATTTTCTGGTGAATCTAGTATTTAAAGTTGTTGTTGGCACTGTTCTTCTTTATGGATGCTTTTTCCTTTAGTCAGACTTGGAAAGATCAAAGATACAAAAGCAGTCTATAGATCAAAGATGCACGCTTTTCTAGTGGCTCGTAAGTCGGCTCGTGAGCCAAGCTCGAATCTCCCCTCTCTTTTAACGAGTTCGAGCCGAGCTAGGAAATCAGTAGCTCATCTGGCTTGGCTCGAACTCGAACTTGTCCCCCCATTGATCGAGCTGAGCTCGTTTAGCCGAAAACTCGGCTCGGCTCAGCTCGATAACAGTCCTAAATCCAACTATAAGTGTTTTAATGTTATTAAAAGAATTATTTTTAAATAAAATAATATATTTGATTGAATAATATTTACATCAAGTCTTCAATTGTCAAGTTCTAAATATATCTATAATAAATTAGTAATTACTATATATATACTTTCTTGCCTTAGGAAACTTTTTCAATGCCTTAGAAACTTTCTTGCCATCTAAGTACATCCTTAAACAAAAGTCATTAGCTAACATGATTAGGAGCATATTAATTTGTTATCATCAAAATAAGAGCATGATGACTCATTGAGTCAACAAGTTTGAAAGAAAAATAATGAAAATGATTATAATTTTTAATAAAATCCTTCGGTTTTTTTTCCCTTTGGAAAGGTGGCTAATTAATGATATTTGGATGTTGAAAATTCTTTAAAGACCCGCAAATGAAGATTTCATGATGCCTTGAACGAGAAAACTCCAGCTTTATGTGGAGGCTTGGAGATAAGTAATAAATATTTGAAAAATAAATAAACAAAATAATTGATAATTAATAAATTTGAGATAAATCGAATAGGGTTTATGTAAGAATATAAATCTATTAGAAAATAACGGGATATAATAGAGACTTAAATAGTCTAAATACATTTAGAAAAATGATTTGTTTAAATAAAAGATAACTGCTCCATGAATATATCATAATTTTAAAGATAAAGAATATTGGAAATAACAAATTTATCAAGATATAAGCATGTTTATATTCATTGAATTAAAATAAATAAATATGAAATAATAAAAATGATTTATATAAGAATTTTATGATGATAACCTGAAAAATAATTTTATTATTAGATAAATTTAAAAAAGAGAGATAAATGCCTAAAATAATTTTGTTCAAGATAAATGCTAAAACAAAATTTTATAATAAATGAACACAAGACTTACATAATTTAATTGATTAGATGAGAGATAAACCTAGAAATAATGTATCTCTGATCAAAATTGGAAAGGAAATATTAAAGGCATTTTAATACGATGATAAAGGAATTGACCAAAATGCCCCTTATAGGTTTTTGTATAAAATTGAGGGAATCAAAGTATTTTAGTGCAAGTAAAACCTTGTGAGGGGTTTTTAGTAGTTTTTGAAACTCTGGCCATGGTTAAGAAAATCTGAATCAGATTGCATAACACGAAAACGTTGTAAGAGTGAAAATGTTGTAAAATTATAGAAAATAGAGTGTATGATAAAAATATGAATTATGAACCCGTGGCTATGTAGTCGTTTACTACAGGAAAAATAAAAAGCCTAGAAAAAACATGCTTTAAGAGGTTAAAACTTGCATTGGGTATTTTGGTCATTTGGCATTTTGGGTAAACGTTATTTTTCTGCCCAAATCAGTGAGAAATTAGTGTTAGAACTAATATAATTTTTTAGAATTTTTGGAGTTTGAAAAGCATTTTTCCTAGCATTTTTTTTTTTTTTTTTTTTTTTAATGAATGGACTTTTACATCTATTGATCAAGAGTCTAATTAAGGATCCCCCAAGTGGGTCTAATTCAAAGAAACATCTTGGCCCAATAGGCCTTTTGGATGCTCTATAACGTACAACGTAACCCACAAGATTGCCCTATTGAAGTGATTTGGGTCCATCGGCCTTTGGAAAAAAGAAAGAGAACTTACCTTGTTACCTTAGTATTTGTTGTAGGTTATGCTTGTGGATTATGCCAAATTCTCATGTTGAAATGAGCTAATCTTTATGTTGTAAAAAGGCTTGCCAGAATATATGTCCTTAGTCTTGGATTAGGTGGGCTTTATCGATCCCAAGAAGCAGTTATTAGGCCCATTATGAAGTTTTAGAGCTGATTTGTGTCTACTCTAATGGGTCTTGGTGTAGTATAGCTTCCTTGACAAAAAGGCCATCAACAAGGTTTGGTGATGAATTTGTAATTAAGGGTAGTTGTGAATAAAAATGGGGGTTGATAAGTTTTTAGTGTTTAAATAAAAAAAAAAAAAAATTGATGAATTTTTTTAGGGCAGATTAAAACTTCATAAAGTTTATTGGTAAATAAGATAAGGGTTAATACAATTACATCTCTTGAAATTCGTGAAACTCATGGACCCCAGAAACTCCAGAAACCACCAACATACACCTTACATATGTGACTCCGTTTGGCCTGTAAAATGTCTAATTTACTTCTGAAGCTTTTCAACTAAATTTAATTTAAATTCCAAAATCAAAATCCCTAAACTTAAAAAAAAAAAAAAAAAAACAAAAAAATACAAAAGTTTATACAATATCTAAAATATTCAATGAGAAAAATAAATAAAAAATAACTTGAAAAATATAACAATTTAAAAAGTCTAAAACTTTTAAATCTAAAATAATTTGAATTTTTAATAAAAATTAAAGGAGATTTAAAATAATAAAAAAAATTAGAAAATCAAAAGGACAGCAACTAGCTGGTCGGTTACTTGGTCTACCTAAATCTGGCATTTGCAGCCAGATCTTGGTTAGAGAAGCCATCGGCATTGATCGGTTTTCGGTCAGTTCATGGCCAACGTTATAACTGGTTGGTAGATCTGGCCCAGCTATGCCATTGGCTGATAATAGCCTTATTTTCTCATATTTTTATTAAATATTTCTGTTTTAGAGTTTCATTTTTCCATTTTTTTTATTTTTGTTTTATTTTGTATTTCTTAGATTTTTATTTTTGTTTTTAATTTCCGTATTTTAAAGATTTATTTTTTATTTTCCAAGTTTTTATTTTTATATTATCAAATTTAAGATTTTACTGTATTGTCCTGTTTTGATTTTTCATTAAAATTCTTAATATTTTTTACAATTTAATAATTTCTGTAAGTTTAACATGTTAAAGTCACTTTTAACCTTCATCTAGTTAGAGTTAATAGCCAAAATAGACAGAGATGGTCTGTTCGGGGATCGGGTCATGTAGTTTGTGAGTTTTAGAGGGTATAATTAGTATCAATCTACCAGATAATTTTGTAAATTTTGTTGGATGAATGTAAAATTAATTAGTTTTGGGATGATTATAAAATTGATTTAAGTAAAAAATGTCATTTCAATTTCTAAAGAATTATTATGGAATAGGGCTAGGGTCGTATTTTCCATACCAAAGGGTGCTGAGTAATTTGACATAACTATGGGGGTTTAGCAGAAAAACCCAATTTATAAAATTTATTTGAATAATAATTAAATTACGTGGCTGCGTTTGGTTCAAAATTTGGGGGTTTTGGGAAAAGTTTTTTGAAAAGTTAAAAAAAAGTTGAATGGGCGGGTATTACGAGGTAAAATTTATAAATTAAAAATCCTTTATGTTGTGTTTTTTACAAAATACCCCCTATAATAAAACATTAAAAGTTAATAAAAATACCCCTAACCCACCCTCAAACACCCCCAGCGGCGACCACCACCGGAGGTGGTCGGAGTCACGTATGGGCGCATGACCGGTTGGATCTTGCCGGTCATGCGTCGCTATGGCCTTTTCCGGCCAGATCCACGGTGGATCTGGCCGGAAAAGGCCAGATCTACGGTCAGATCTGGCCGTCAACGGCCAGATCTGGCCGTATTTACTCTCAACGACGGCCAACAAACGGTCGTCATTGATGGTCAACGACGACCGCTTGTTGGCCGTCGTGACCGAGTGTTACGGCCAAAGATCTGGCCGTCAACGACCAGATCTTTGGCCTTAGATCTGGCCTTTTCCGGCCAGATCTACCGTGGATCTAGCCAGAAAAGGCTAGATCGGCGCACTGCCGGCCAGATTCAGTCGGTAGTGCGCCATTCTACCAGATTCCGGCCATTTTCCGGTGGTGGTGGCCGGAATCTGGTAAATTTAGATTATTGGGGTGTTTTTGTAATTTAAAAAAATATTTAGGGGTATTTAATTAAATTATCAAATTTAAGGGGTTTAAAAAAAATTGAATAATTTTGGGAGTAGTATTCCAAAAAATCTGAAATTTTGGGTAATTTACTGTTTAATTTTTTTGGGAATACTAAAAGTAGTATTCCCAAATGTGAAACAAACGGTAGTTTCCATTCCTTCTGAAACCCTTAAGTCCTTAAACCATTTGTTTCGCTCCTAAAACCCTACTCACCAGTCACAACCATGTCTTCTTCCCTTCTCCTCCACCGTTCAAAACCCTTGACAAAAGTTTTCCGCTTCAGCTGGGTCTTTACCCGGCCCATGGGCGGTGGTCCACGGACCTTCCCCGGTGGCTTAAACAAATGGCAATGGAAGCGCATGCACGAGAAGAAAGCCAAGGAGAAAGAAAAGCGACTTCTCGATCAAGAAAAACAACTCTATCAAGCCCGTATCCGTTCCGAAATCCGAACCAAACTCTTCTCCAAATCCGACCCGGGTTCGAAACCCGACCAAGAATCCACCCACCACACTCCCATGACCCCCCAACAGCACATCAAAGCGTTGGCAGATCGCTTCATGAAAGCTGGGGCTGAGGATTTATGGAATGAAGATGATGGGCCTTTGAAAGCACCGGAGGAACAATCACTATCGATTGGACCAACAAATGAACGGCCCAGATCGTTTGGTTCGCCAATTGATTTGACGAGCATGATATCAGATAAGCGTAATTTAGTTGATAATAATTATAGAAACGTGAATTCTGAAAATGTTAATTTTAGTAACTATGTGAAAACTAGAAATTATTCGGTTGCAAGTGGAAGGAGTTATAATACTGCACTTAATTTAGCGGGTAATGTTGCTAAAACTGTGAATAATTCGAGAAATGGAAGTGATTTCGTGAAGAAAATGAATTTTTCGAGGCCAGATAAGATGAGGTTTAGTAGAAACAATGGTTCTCCTGGTGAAGATGAATTGGGTTTGGGCACAGTAAATAAAGAGAAGCCTTTTGCTTGCAATTTGGGAAATACTCGCAAAAATGGTAATTCAAGGAATTTCAGTGAGTTTATAAAGAAAAGGGGTTCTGTGGGTCAAAGGAGGTTTAAAAGAAACGACAGTTCTTCGAGTGATTATGATTCAGATTTTGATTCAGTGGATGTTGATGAGCAAGTGGAAGGTTGGAGAGATGTGAAGAAGATCGGGAGTAGTGCATCTTTGGGGAAGTATGATATGAAGATAACAAAAAGAGTGCCATTAAAGAATCTTGAGAAAGAGAGTGATTTTTCGGAGCAGGTGGAGTTGATTAGGAAGGAGATTAGTAAGAAAAAATTGGCTGAAAATGGTGAGCAAAAGGTGCAGAGGGAGGAAGAATCGATTCTTAGTCAGAAAAGGTGAGTTGTTTTGGTTGTTGAGAGACAATACGGATTGCTGATGTATATGTGCATGACATTGTGGAATTTCAATGTGTTGATTGGTGATGTTATTGATCTTTGTTCCTGCAGATTTGATGAGTGTGGGATATCTCCATTGACTGTCAAAGCACTTACAGCTGCTGGCTATGTTCAAATGACCAGGGTACAGAATGCTACTCTTTCTGTTTGCCTTGAGGGTATGTTATTTGCTGCTTTAGAGGTACTGTTATTATGATTTGTCTCCATTATTAGGTCCAAACTACAATTTACTCAATTTACGAGTTACATTGAATTTAATACAAGCTGTTTTCAGTGTCCAAGTTGATTTTGATTGGGTAGAATTGAGTCGTCAAATTTTAATTCTTGGAAGTGCTCTGGATTTGTTTTCATTAAATGGCTGATCTCATTGTCAATTTCTCAATTGTGACCTAAAAGTTGGCTAGCTTTGTATGAGTTGTTTGTATACATGAACATGATGTTTTGATTTGTTCCATTTAAGCTACTAAACGGCATAAGTGATTTCCATTATTATTTGAACAGGGAATGATGCTTTGGTCAAAGCCAAAACTGGCACGGGAAAAAGTGCTGCTTTTTTGGTAACTACAACTCCTTCTATCCTTTTCTGATTTAAGTAGTAGAATTCATTTTTCTTTCTGTCAATGCTGCTATTAAACACAAACAGCTTCCGGCAATTGAAACAGTTTTGAAGGCCACGAGTAGTGGGATCAGTCAACGGGTGCCTCCAATATTTGTTCTTATTCTCTGTCCCACAAGAGAGCTTGCAAGTCAGATTGCAGCTGAAGCTATTGCTATGCTGAAGTATCATGATGGCATAGGTGTGCAAACACTAGTGGGAGGTACTCGTTTCAAAGTTGACCAGAAACGCCTAGAAGCAGATCTGTGTCAGGTTTGCATACTCGTGTTGACTATTGAAACTTGTTTGTTCGTGTTATAAAATATGGTTACAGAGAGAGTGAACATACATTAGCAGAAATTGCAAAAGGAGATTTTAAATGTTTTCTATTATATAATCACCTGATGTTAATTTTTATTTAAAATTTTGCAGATATTAGTTGCAACTCCTGGCCGGTTGCTGGATCATATCGAGAATAAGTCTGGATTGTCTGTGCGTCTGATGGGATTGAAAATGCTTGTACTTGATGAAGCTGATCACTTACTAGACCTGGGATTCCGGAAGGACGTGGAAAAAATTGTTGATTGTTTGCCCCGTCGGAGGCAGTCCATAATGTTTTCTGCAACAATTCCGAAGGAGGTTATATTGGCTCCTTTTCTGTCATCTGTAGTTCACAAAATTATTTTCTTTATGAACAGATGCAGATTAAGACCATATGATTATGCAGGTTTGTCGAATATCTCAGCTAGTTTTGAAAAGAGAACACACATATATTGACACAGTGGGTCTGGGTTGTGCGGAAACTCCTTCTAAGGTGGCTACAACAAATTCTTTTCTCATACTTACATTTTAATGTTGACTTTGGATGATTCTGGTTTTCCTATTCTCTTTCTGTTGATTGATCTTTTAAACTGCCTGGATTTAAATTCATAAAAAGAAAAAAAAAAAAAAAGTAAATTACCAATGGATGTTTCATTTGCTTTTTAAATTAGACACCTGGGAAGCAACAAGATTTAATGAGTGTTCTGGCTTGTTAAATACAGATTAAGCAGTCTTGTCTTATTGCACCTCATGAATTGCATTTTCAAATAGTGCACCATCTATTGAAGGAGCATATCATGGAAGCACCTGACTACAAGGTAAGATGAATTAACTTCTGGTTTTTATTTACTTGGTATATGTTTGCTCAAGGCTTAACCATCTTAACTTGTCTTCAGGTCATTGTTTTCTGTTCAACTGGGATGGTAACATCACTCCTGTATTTGCTTCTCCGGGAAATGAAAATGAATGTGAGGGAGATACATTCTAGAAAGCCTCAATTATATCGAACTCGTATCTCTGATGAATTCAGGGAATCAAAGCGACTTATTCTTGTTACGTCCGATGTATCAGCACGTGGAATGAACTACCCTGATGTTACTTTGGTTGTTCAGGTATTAATAAAGCTTGATATGATTATTTAATTTTATTATGATGCATATTACTCAGATATGTCCTCGAGTTATACATAAGTTGCGAAACTTTTATATCACATACAAAAACACATCTAAATATTTGACCTGATGGTATGTGGTTATCAAGTGACTATTAAAGAATCAATTTGCATTACATAGTCTCAGAAAGGTGATGACACATTTTTTATCGGACATAGATTAGTGATACTGCTCGTGATGATGTTTTTACTATCAATGGTTGTGGTAAGGTATCAGTTGTGTCTTTCAAAATAGTTCATTGTGTTTATTGTATATTTTACTAAGTATACTTTAACTCTTCAACGATTATTTAATTGTTCTCTAAACTGGGTGAATATACTTATTTCAGCATCGCTCTTGAATGTTGTATTTACTGTTGACAATACAAATTGAAGGGGAATTTAGATTAATTAAAGTTCTTCTTGAACTGTCAAGAGAAAGTGTAGATATTGATTGGAAGCATCACCTTCTAACTCTAGAAAATTTGATACCCGAATTTCCAGTATCTTTTCTATATTTACATTGACTGCACTGCTAAGCTACTGCACTTATTTCTAAAGAATATGTGGAACATATCTGAGTGGCTAGGAATAGATCCACTCTTCAAGTTACAAATAAGTTTGGTTGTGATTAGTATCTGATTGAACACCTATTGTGCCATTCATATTAAATAATGTATATAATTGACAATTATCAGGTGGGTATTCCTTCCAATCGGGAACAATACATACATCGACTTGGGAGAACAGGTCGAGAGGACAAAGAAGGAGAAGGCATCTTGTTGCTTGCGCCATGGGAAGAATATTTCCTGGATGATTTAAAAGATTTGCCTCTTGACAAATTTCCTTCACCGCATTTAGATCCAGACTCTAAACTTCAGGTTTGTGTCTAAACATGACATGCTTTGGTTCTATTTTTTGTACTGCGCCATTTAAGTTTGTGTTTCAATTGATGATTGTAGTTGATATTGAAAGTGTGATTTAAAATAACAATCTCCATTACATATGTAACACAATTTCTGGAGTTGGAATGCTAAAATTCGAAGAAGAGAGCTTCTTGTCATCACACAGCCTAATCAGAAGAACTTTGCATATTAATTAGGCCAGTTTAGATAGGCAGTTCTTAAAATTTTTTGACTGATTCAGAATGCACAATATCTATTTCACAAATTGTGCAAAAATACCTTTATTTAGACAGGAGTACACTAACATGTAGACCAACCTCTTGCTAACCCAGATTTTTTTTTCATCTTCACCTTGAATTATTGCATGTACATTTGTTTTAGGATTTAATTCTTGGCTCTCTTTCATTTGGTAGGAATTTAACAAATTTCCTGTTTTTAATGCTTGAATTTATGTTTACCTCACAGATGGAGGCTTTGATGGCGAAGATTGATAGTAGTGTTAAAGAGGCAGCATACCATGCTTGGCTTGGTTATTACAACTCAATGAGAGAAATTGGTAGGGATAAGACAATGCTTGTCGAACTAGCCAACAGATTTGCCGAGTCCATCGGTTTACAAAGGCCCCCTCCCCTCTTCAGGATGACGGCACTGAAAATGGGTTTGAAAGATATACCTGGCATTCGAATCCGAAAGTAGCACAAATTTGAGAATATATATATATATAGAATGTAAGAATAAAACCTCTTTTTTTTTTTTTAATAAATCGTAGTAGTAACTCAAAGCACATGTTTTTACTAGCGTCTGGTGGGACAATCAGACCATTAATCCAAGGCCACTTCTAAAAACCAGAATACGTGATTGTTTCTTTGTGTATGTCCTTGGTAGAGGAATTGCCATAAGGAAAACAGGACTTAAAAATTAAAATAAGGNTGGTTATTACAACTCAATGAGAGAAATTGGTAGGGATAAGACAATGCTTGTCGAACTAGCCAACAGATTTGCCCAGTCCATCGGTTTACAAAGGCCCCCTCCCCTCTTCAGGATGACGGCACTGAAAATGGGTTTGAAAGATATACCTGGCATTCGAATCCGAAAGTAGCACAAATTTGAGAATATATATATATATAGAATGTAAGAATAAAACCTCTTTTTTTTTTTTTAATAAATCGTAGTAGTAACTCAAAGCACATGTTTTTACTAGCGTCTGGTGGGACAATCAGACCATTAATCCAAGGCCACTTCTGAAAACCAGAATACGTGATTGTTTCTTTGTGTATGTCCTTGGTAGAGGAATTGCCATAAGGAAAACAGGACTTAAAAATTAAAATAAGGAACTTATTTCATAGACCGAATATAAAATTGATGAATGTAATCCCTTCTATCTGTCAGGAGAGGTATTTTCGTTTGGATTAATAGTAGCAAGGTTAAAAAATAAAGCATGAAAAAAAATTAGAAACATAAAAAAATATATATATAGATGGGGTGTTTGTTTAAGCTTATAAGCTGGTCAAACTAACTTATAAGCTCTAAAATTAAGTTGACCTGTTTGTTTATAACCTTTTTGAGCTTATAAGTAAAAAAAAAAATAAGTTGGGGGAAGGTATTTTTTTTTTCTGCTTATAAGCACTCTACTTATAAGTTAGTTTGACAAAGTATATTATCAGATTATCCTTATTTAATTTTAAAATTTCATAGTATACTCTTGTTTAATGTAGTATCCTCTTTAGTGATTTTAAAATAAAATGTACTTATAAGTCATATTTTATCAAACACGTCAACTACTTATTAGTCACTTATAAGTACTTTAACCAAACACGTAATTATTTAAAATTTTTAATGCTTATAAGTTAAAGTTAGCTTATAAACACTTGTTGCTTATAAGTGTTTATAAGTTAATTTTCATAAGCTTAGATAAATACCCCTCCCTCAATTACTTCAAAGTTCAAAGATGGATAAAATAAAAAATATGACAGAAAGAGTAATGTTACACTTATACCATTTTTTTACATTATTTTATAAACATTATGATGTGGCATACGCTACAATCATATAAATTCTATTATAATATTAAAAATTAAAAATAATTAAAAATTTATGTGATTGTGATATATACCATACCATAACATAATGTAATGAAAATTACGCCAAAAAGCGAGGAAAGTATGGCGTTACTTGAGAGAGAGAATGGGACTATTATTTGAGCTTTACCGTTTCCCTTCTGTTCTGCTAACAAACGCCGCCCTCTCCAGAACGTCTATTTCTTATTTCTCAATTCTCCTCCAGAAAGAATGCTTATCCTACACCCCTCCACATCTCTTCTTCTTCATTTTCCCGCCATATCGACTACTCCCTCCCATTTTCAACCATTCAAAGAGAACATATAAAATGCCCAAATTGTACTCGAGCAGAAAGTTTTGATAAAGAAGATGTGATGATGATTATCACTCTGAAGGAAATGAAGACGAAAGGATTGAAAAGAAGCAAAAGCTTTTCGCACAGGATTTCTTCCATGGATAACCATCTTCAAAGTTACATTCAACATGTAAGTTAATATTCTTTGGTTGTTTTTATTTATGCAAAAGATTTAGGATACTCAATTATTACATGTCAATTGAGCGTATGAATCAATTTAATATGATTTTAGGTCTTATATTTTTAGTTTGGAAATAACCCATTTTGTTAATTTCATTATTCTGTGTTATTAATTGTTATATGAGCCCCATAAACTAAAGTTGCTAATTTGGAAAAAAGAATATTATTATTGAATTCATCGACACTTACAGAAGGACAGATGTTTGGCATGCTTTGTGTAGTTCTATAGATTCCTACAGACAGATGTTTGCTGTGCAGTGGGGCAACTCATAAAATTTCAGAACAATTTTTCACTCTTCTGATTTGTAGAGAGTTTATGGTTCTACTATATGAGTGAATTCGATAATGTTTTCGATTTTGTAATGCGTACATAACTAAGAGGACTGAAATTTTACCTCGTCATAGTTGAATCTGGATTTGCTTTGAGGACTGAAAATTCTTGAAAAACCACTTTGTAGCTTGTGCAGTGAACTTTAGCCAAGTTGTTTCAGCTTAGGTTTTTTGTTGTTTCAAGGCAGTAAAGGCTTTTGACAATAAATGATAAACTATATCTGCCTAAAGAATCTATTTCTATGGACATCTCCTTGCCCTAAAGCTGGTAATCAATAAAAGAGAGCACATGAACTACCATATAAGGAATTCACATTAAAATGACTACTATAAATGAAAATTATTGCAGATTTCCATATCAACTGCACATTGTTGCTCTTTGTTTTGGAAAATTCCAACTGTGATTAAATTTTACACTATAATCTTAACTATCTTCAAGTGATTCTGGGGTTGGTCAAACTGTGATTATTGAAGAAATTAGCTAGGTGACAGCATACATTTAGACAGTTGATGATTTAATATGTGCCATGTAATGTTACATGCAAACTGGTTTTACTAGTGTCAACTAATGGCAGAAGAAAGAACCATGTTTCGATTGCTGATATTCCACTTCTCATTTTTTGAATGTAATGAAACTGGTTGCTGAACCACTCATCAGTATGGTGGTTTCATTTTTTTACACCTCAGTTGTTTTACTTGTTACAAATGTCATAGTCAAAAAATACATCTATATGAATGAATCATTCTTGTCATTGAGTTTTTCTAAAACATAGAAAAAAGAAAGATCACCAAAAAACGCAACCTGAAGGTAAGTATATTTCTCATATGCTTTTTTCTCTCAATGTTTTCTACAATTTTCTCATATGAGTTGTAATTTTTAATGTTTTCATGTTTTCATTTGATGAAAAGTGGAGATGTTAATGCCTCTGGGAAAATAGATCAAAGTTTGATAAAAGAACTTAATATAATTTATCTTTGAAATATATTACATGTATTGTTTTTAGTTACTAACAAAATTCAACCTCTAAACACCTAAGGATAAAGACATTGACTCAGTAGGATGCTTTCTTCTTATTACAAAACACTCCAATTCTAGTTTGCTATAATACTTAGGAAATCAGGCTCTGCTCATTTAGGTTATTCTAGTATGATTGCTTTATCTCATGGTAATCGCTGTTCAAAATGAGAAAATCAACGCCAAAGCAAATGAAATAAAAAATTGAATCAAAAAAATTAAAAAGAATTAAGAAAAGAAAAATATTATGATTTCACTTGTTAACTGGAGTAAGCTTATGCCAAAGCATCATAGAAATGGTTGATTTTCCTCATAAAAGACTCCAAGATAAAAGGTCCTAGGTGAAAGAGGAGCTTTTCTTTGATGAAAAGTAGTAAGAGCTCCCATAATTTTGGCTGTTCATGTTTTCTCACGATTTGTCATCATTAATGGATATCTTTAGTTTGTTATTTTCCTAATAACTCTTTTAATATAGTTAATCTTAAATGTATAAAAAAAAGTGAAAATTTTGATCAGAAGATCTCTAACACGTAAGATTCGCCAAGATTTACTTTATTTGATACGTGGTAGTCATCTTATCAAAAGTTGGAAAATGCTTCATAATTGTTGAGTTTGAGTTGCTTCTAACGAGTTTCACATGTTGTAATGAACTAAATTGTTTTGTCCGGTACAAAAATGGAAAAAGAGAAGATTTTTTTCTTCTTCATAACATCACTGTTAGGATATAGAAAAACAGAAACATAAAGCTGAAAGTCTTGTAACACTGAATATTATTATGACTTATGTAGTGTTAGACAGGTCTTCATTATTGAAATCCAACTTTTAAGATTAATAGTGAATAGAACTTTCTCGAAGATTTGTATAAAGTTTTGTGCCAGCATTAATCACATAAAGAATCAAATATGCTCTCTTGTACATGGCAGAAGTGTTATAGTTTCCATGTTTTCTTTCTATGTGGCTAGAAGCTCACCAATATTTGAAGTGGGGACGTAAAATTTGTACTTGACCTATGGAGTTGGATGAGAAATTTCTATGTTAGAATTTACTGTCTATGAATTGACATTGTCTTATCAATACTATATCATGTTGTTCCTAAATATGATGCTTGAAAGACATTACACATGATATTGAATGAACATATTCAGCTGATGTATCTCTATTGAAGGATCTTATTGTTGTTGTTCGAATGGTTATCTTGATTTAGAATTCATGAAGCTTGAAAGACATTATAAGCATATTGAATGTTTCTGGTGTAAGAATTTTACACCTTACATATACAAGTGTTTTTGGGCTTCATGAACTTTTTTTTGAACTTCTTGCAATGCCAAATGCATGTAGCCATGTATTATAAATCCACATTTGGCCTCGTAATTCAAAGAATGTTCAGTATCTAGGTTGATTTGCAATTTGCTTTTACTTTTTTCATTAGTGTTCCTAGTTATAAGTCTGTAAAAATGTGCCAGCAGATCACATTGAAACATTTTAAATTGTCTTACAATACATTTACGTGAAAGAACTATACTTTGACTTTCATCGTCTTCTTTTTTCATAGGATTTCAATGCATAATACAAACTTCCTTTTGGAAACTACTTTTTTGCTTACAATGTTTCTATTTCTGCATATTTAGGAAAAATGTTTTCTGGAAGCTCAAGTTCTCGGAATTGGCAAACAATGGATTATGACATCCTTGTCAAGATTTTTACGGTCCTCAACCTTACAGATATGGTTTTTGGTGTTTCTCGAGTTTGTAAGTCATGGCGTTTTGCTTGTCGTGATCCACTTCTTTGGGCGACACTTAATTTGAATAGGTTGAAGGCTAACTCCGCTGACATTCTCCCCTCAGAAACTTGTGCTTTGTTGGATAACCAGTCTAGTTGGTGGAGAGTAATGTGTATCTTGAAGAATGCTTTCAATCTCGGTTGCAATAATGTGACGCGGTTGATTTTCCATTACTCAATGTATATCAATGATGAGCACTTGGTCTATGCAGCTATAAGGTCTCATCTCATATTATTTTCTTTCCAAATCTACTCAAGCTAATTATGAAAATATAAATAAACTTATTTATTGAGTAAATATAGAAAAACTATTATCTTGGATGAATTGGGAAATAATGCTTAGATTCTCCCCTGCAGGTTCCCCAGAGTCAAACATCTTGTTTTACCACCTTGTAATCAGATTACAGTGGATGGATTTCATGCTGCTATCCAGAGGTGGCAAGAGCTTGTGTCTTTGATTGTTCCATACATCTGTAGTCCCTCTAAGATAATGCAGATGATAAGCGCCAACTGCAAAAACTTCTCGATTCTAAAAGTAATGCTCCCTTTTGACCTTGAATTTGCTACTACCTTATTTATCTATCTTCCAGGGCTTAAGGTATTGAGTCTTCGGTCTGCAATGGTAGAAAAAAATGCTTTGACCATTATTTTGAAGCTCATGGATGGCCTGGAGAAGTTAAACTTATCTCACTGCCGGCTCATAGAAGTACCAAGAACTCCAGGTCCTGTCACCCTCTTCCGGGAAATGGATAATTCAATCATCGCGAAAGCCTCACATCTCAAGGAGTTTTGCTATTGCCAGGAGCTGTCCTGCAGTATCTGTTTGTTTGAGCATACTGATGAAAATTTTCTCAGGTGGTATGCCTATGATGAAGGACTTTGGCGGGAGGATGAAATAACTTCCCTTGCTTTTTGACATGGGAATCTAGAAATTGCATTTCTGGGTTCTAAGCTTATCATTAGAACTCAAACTATATAAAGAAATGCTTTAATAAAATAACAGACATTTTAGCAATTTGATCAATCAACTTCTGCATAGATTTGCTTATGATATTATGTGAACTGTATTGTGCATCCGGTAATTCTTTTTCACACACGTATCTATTCGAAAAACCATCAACAAGGGTGATGGTTTAAGTATATAAAATAGAAAATAAATGCATGTATAACCTAGTTTTATGGAAGGACATAGGGATGATATGGTAATATTTTATGGCGCCATCTAAGACTTGTTCCTTCTTGGCTTCCAGCTTCCAATGACGAATGAATGGTACCATGTTTTAGCAATGGCTCCTCTAGCTGTTATAAGATAAGTTAGAAACCAGTACATTGCTACATAAATGTAAATAAATGATGGAGATTAATAAGTTATAGGGAGGTGATTTTTGTTTCTTGTTCTGGGATGTTGAAGTTGAGCATTTCTTCTTTCCATACTAAAGTGAAGAAACGAATTGAGTGTTTGAAATGTTTTTACTGCGGCTTACCAAATGAAGAAAATTGAAAACCTGGGATTGCAATTGCTTACCTACCTTAAGTATGTGATTTTTTATAATCTTTTGAAATTAAGTGTTATAACCTATATTTTGGATTTCGTATTGAAATATTTACTTAATAAAGCTTAGTCCAAGTGGTTGTACCCTAATACGTGTTTTATTTTTATACGTATTTTCTCAAAATTCTACAATCTTTCACTCAAACATGAAAATTAAAAGGTTTCTTCTGAAATCACATTCACATATGTCTGAAGGGGTATAAAATGAATGGCATGTATAAACTTATATGGGAACATTATTTTGTTCCTGTTGAAGTAAACTTTGAGTATTAACAAACAGTTGTGCCCCATTTCAGAGTGGAAAAATTCCTTGTCTTTCACCACATTTATTTTGGCTGATATCATTGATATGTAACTCAGATTGCAAAAGAAGGCCTTGCCACTTACCATATACTGTCTTCTAAATTATACTTTTCCCATTGGTATAGATCTTATCACTTGACGTGTAAGATCACAAATCCACTAATTTTCCTCTTTAGCACAGTGTCTTCTAAAAGTCTCTATGACTATGATTCTGATTTCTGAACGCTCCTCACATGTTTCAGTCAGATTCAAACTTTTCATTCCCCTCTGAGCATATTTCCCAAAATTGTCTGTGTGAACGTTTCTTGACCTTCTCCAGGATGATATTAGCTGCCCAAAATTTCATCAGATCAGATCACTGTGTGTAATGGGATACACATACTAGTCAAGCCATCACATTGTTCATCTACTCAACCATAATAATAATTATGTTTCCAACTATTTGCACCATGCAACAAACTAATCCCCTTATATTCCTAGATGTTGACAATGAATAAGATATTTTTACAAACTATTGACTCTTCTCAACCTGCAACAAAAGTCTTCATTCTCCTTTCAATGCTTTGAAAGCTCAATTAACCATATCCTTTTATTATAAATCAAACAACTAGAAAGATGATTCATTAGACAAGAAAGAAAAATTCATAGCAATTTAATGGAATGATGTTCTTTTAAGAAACGTCAAGTTGGGCAATTTTTGACTGGTCCTCCACAAAAGGCCAAAACTTCTTTTCTGCAGCAAGTCATACAAAACACAACTTGTTTTTGTGTAACACAGTACAGAAAACTAAGCAGGGGATTAAACGACTTACAATAGTTTCTGTATAATTGTGAACAAATTTGCCTAACCATGGTGAGTTAGAACAACTGTACTGTATGAAGATGTAGACCTTATCATAATCAAATGTAATCGGGTCCACTTTTTTAATACCTAATTAATTTGAAGCCCCATTGGGGCCTAATGTGATGCATCAAAGAATGTTATGACTTTGTAAATGGGTATTCTATATATAATCAATCATATATAAAGCAAACGAAAACAAATTTTATTAAATTATGTCTTCATTGAATATCCATTCTTTTGATAAAAAAAATATATTAGCCGTGGGAAGTAGCAATCAGATATTGCTGTCTCAATAAAGTCTTGTTCTGATATAATTCTTATAATTTTGCCTAGCTTCTAGCAATGTTTAAGTCTAATTAGTAATTTGTCTGTCCCTTAACTACCATGCTTAAACTCCACGACATTAAATATAAAAAAGATTAAATGAGGCCTGCACTTCAGAAATAGTGAGCAAATTCCAACGGGGTCGGTGCTGCTGACAGATCCATTCTAAACAAATCCTGGAAAATGACTTGGTTCTACTTCTCCAAACCATTTCAAAGAAATCTTCAAAACGAAATCTTTTTGTATCATAAATCTGAATTATGCCACACACTAAAATTCAACCTTTTCAATCAATAACATCCTTTCAGCTGATGTGGAAGAAGACCCTTGTATTAAAAACATCTATATCTTCTTCTTGGACCAGCACCAATTATATAATCTTTCTTCATTCTTATATGTATATTTCAATTCCAATAGTAAATGGGAGCTCGTGGCTTCTCTTAAATAAGAAGAATATGAATAGCTTAGAAGCAAGAACATGTGATGTAGCAGATCATCAACATGTGCACCAAGCCGTGTTGATGAATGTGCCTTATACATATAAGAGAAGAGAGATCCACCAATAATTATACCATTACTAAAATAATCACAACTCAGATGGAAACAAGAGAGATCTGATTATTTGTAAAGTCAACGCCAACAGCAGCACTTGAAAATTGGTCTTTCAACTTAGCACTCTACTCGATCCACAAGGACCAAATTACCCTATCAACTCTCAGCTTATAACAAATCTGCATAACTTCTTCACTTATACATAAAGTTAAGTTTAGTAATAAATGACATTGTAACACTCCAATCTACTGTCAAGATATTGTTTTCGGATTTATCTCTTACCCATCTTAAATAACAAAACTTAGAGCGTGTCTCTCATCATAGGTTCAAATCAAGGGAATGCACTTTAAGTCCTCCATTATTTGAGGTCGGCAAGAGATCAATCCAAGAGAAATATCTCAACAGTGACTCTAGGTGCTACACAATTCCCTTGACAGTTTTGATGCTTCTCAATAAACTGTCTTGTGCATACAATTGATGCATATTTTGCAGATTCCTGGTACTTGATTTTCATGTGAAGTTTAGGCAATTTGGTGAGGTAGAGATGTCATTGCAAATCTATAAAAACATAAGGGTAAAACTGTCATTCATCAGATTAATTGTGAGTCTTGGCTCCATCACCACAGGTTGCCTGAGCCCATATTAATAAGACTCCATACCTCCTTTTATTAATGACCAAACTCAATTCAATTAAGCATTTTCTTCTCTTGTTACTTGTTAGCATCTTTTTAATCTGTTTCTCACCATTAGAATCATGAAAATTCTCAATCCCAAATTCCCATTTCTAGTCCTCCTGATCATACTTGCAGCCTGCCAACTTTCAAGTAGTCGATATCTCCACACAACAACTAGTGAAGAAACCTCAACAGAATTCCACCCAACTTTTTCATGGCATTTTCCTGCAAAAGCTCCTGAAAGCTCTGGCAAAGAAGCGACCGACCCTCTTTACGGAGTTTCTTATCGAACAGTTCCAGGGGGACCGAACCCACTACATAATTAAATGATTAGTCTTTTTGCCATTAGTTAGTTATAAAGATTAAATTTTTGCAGTCTTATAGTACAGTTCTTTTTGTTTCTTTTTTTATCTTTCAACAAAGATGTATAATAGATACAGGTGGAAAAGTTTGCAAGTTACTGTAATTCTGTAATTTTATTTTGATTGAATGTTATTAGATTATATAGCAATCTTGGGAAAGAAATGCAGACTAGACTGCAATTTGATCTGGGAATGTGTTGATGTTTCATTAATTTTCTGTTGTTCATGTTCAGACAAAACCGTCTGAAAGATGAGAAGACTAGGCGTATAAAAGGGCTTTTAAATTCCCACCGACTGCTTCATTAATGTGATAACTGAATTCAGTATTCATTTCTCATCATCGCCAGGAAGAAGAATTAGGTAACTGATTTTGCAGCTACTATTTTATTAGCAACAGTGTGAATGGTGGGGCCACTTTATGGGAATTTGTAAAACGAAAAACGATATTTTAGTTGCATATTGAAAATGACCCAATATTAACTTTGAATCATCTCGTCTGGAAGCAAAATGACCGAAACAACATGAACCTGAAGTCAAAAGCAGACTTCATTATTAACAAATATCAAGCTCAGTCGATGAGTTTCAAATAATATAACTAAGGATGGAAATGTCAGAATCGGATTCTCCCGAAACCACATTCATTTAATTTCTACGACTCAACTATCAATAAGTGGGAGGTAAATCTAAAAGCACTTGAAAGCTATTGTAAATCACTATTTTAAAAACCGATCCGATGAGAGACCTGATAAGATGACTAGATCACGGATCAACCGGTTGGACCGATTGATTGGATCAATGACATCAACATATTGACATCATGCTTAGATCAGAAATAAAAGATGAACTGAAAATTTTAAACCCATTTTTATAATTCAATATAATGTTAGGAAATTAAATTAAATAGAAGAAAAAACAAGAAGAAAGGTACGGATTTACAATCCAAAACAGCCACCTAAACTATCCTCTAAGAGGTCTACAAAAAAGATGGCAACACAAAACCTTTGGAGGACTTCAGCAGAACCAAAAAAAAAACTGCACATGTTGTACACAAACAACATAGCCCCCAAAAAAGAGCCCAACACCAGCACCAAAAAAACAAACTCTAGCAAAGGATTGCAACTCCAAACCGAAGGAATCCCAAAGCCACAACTGCAGACTTCCAGCAGTAGAGAGCCGCAGCAGAGAAGACTCCAGCACCCCTGAAAAGCGCCCAAATCCTGGCACCACAACGGCAAAAATCCGCAAAGAATTGCAGCCCCCAACAAACGCAAAGACCAGCACCACAACTGCATGAACCCAAAGCAGAGAGCTACAAAACTGAAGACAGACACGCAAAAGAAGAAGAAGCTAAGGGGAAAAGCCAATACAACCAACAGACCCAAACAGAAAACTCTCAACCAAGAG